AAGTGTGCACTTCAAGCCAGGCACTGGTGGCTCACGCCTGTAAATCCTAGCTACTCAGGAGGCAGAGATCTGAGGATCGCAGTTCAAAGCCAGCCCGGGGAAGAAAGGCCGTGAAACTCTTATCTCCAATGAAACTGGAAGTGGTGCTGTAGCTCAAGTGGTAGAGCACTAACCTGGAGCTGAAGAGCTGAGGGACAGCGCTCAGGCCCAAAGTTCAAGCCCCATGACTGACAAAAGAATAAAAATTAAAAAATAAAATAAAATAATAAAAGTGTACACTTCTAATGGTCCACTTCCTCCAGCTAAGTCCTGTCTTCCAAAGTTTCTACTACTACCAAAAATATCACTATGAGCTGGAAGACCTAACATTCAACACATGAGTCTGTGGAGGACATATTCACCCATGATACCATCTTGATGTGCATGACGTGGTAGCTGGTCATGTTTGTTTGTTTGTTTGTTAATTTTTATTTCCCTGATACCTAATGCTATGGAGCAGTTTACATATTATTTTCAGTAATGTCTTTGCAAATCCCTTGCCCATTTTAAAATTGAGTTGTTTGAGGTGTTGTTTTTAGAGAATAGGAGTTCTACATGTCTTTTGGGAGGTATAGTCTATCTATAGAAACCCTTATTTCTTGAAGCCAATACTGCATTTCTATGGCCTCTATTTATCTAGACCATTGGAGTTATTCTATGCTAACTAATCCATCCCTAAATATAATTTGTTTCTAAGATTATCAATGATAAATATCTTCTTCAGGGCTTAGAATGTGGCTTAGTGGTAGAGTGCTTGCCTAGCATACATGAAGCCCTGGGTTTGATTCCTCAGCACCACAGAAAAAGTCAGAAATGGTACTGTGGCTCAAGTGGTAGAGTGCTAGCCTTGAGCAAAAGAAACTCAGGGACAGTGCAAAGACCCTAAGTTCAAGCCCCAGGACTGGCAAATTAAAAAAAAAAATCTTCAATAAAAATTTACTTACATACAACAGAGTAGGTACTGCCTCACCAAATGTGAAAAAAATAACAACTTTGTGGATTTTGGAGCCATAGTATAGATTAATTGATCAAGATAAGGATAATATTAAAGGAAAACAGCTAGACGAGAGACTACGTCATGCTTAGATAGGGTTGAGGGCAGGTTTCATATCTTGATTTGGGGATACTTTTGATGGACTCTTTGTGAGACTTGTTGATGGGTTGTCTCTTCCTCAGATCATGGTTCAGTGTTCACACATGTGAGAATATTTTGTGCTTGGTCTGTACTTTTTCATTCTACCTAGACCTTGATACTGTAGCCCCTCACCATGACTTAAAGAAAATGGGCAGGGTGAAGGAGAGCTCCACAAAAGTACAGCTTGGGAAATAGGAAACTGAAGTGATTTTCATTAGATGGAATATTAACTTTCAATTTGCCAAATGTAATTCTTGTAACTAGTTAATGACAAGCCCTGTCAGCTTTACTGCCATCACTCACCCCAGCTCCCTTCTCCTTCCACAACACTCCAATGACTGGAAAAGATACCTTCTGAGAGGGAGATTCACAGTAAACCTAGTGGTTTATTGATACTTTGCATCATTCTGAAAAACACCTATCGCAAATAGAGAGAAGGTTTATTTTGGCTTATAGTTTCAGAACTCTTCATAGTCCTTGCCCTCATTGATACTGCACCCATGTGAGGTAAAACATTATGACCACAGTTATATAGAAGAGGAGGTTATCCACCTCATGGTGGACAGGAAGCAGTGAGTGAATGGGCACTAGGGACCAGATTGACTTTTTAGAAGCATGGCGTTAGTGACCTGCTTCCTCAATGCAGGCCCACCTCCGAAAGTTGTCACAACCCCCAAATTAGTCCTACCAGCTCAGTACCACAATTTCAACCCATGAGCTCATGGATATTTCATGTTCAATCCATAATACTGTTGAATGTTGTAGGTTTCAGACCTTCTACCTTATATGCATGCCTTCTACAATCATGTAACCTGATGATGGTTTGGGGGACTTTTTTGTTTGTTTTAAAAAAAAAAAAGCTTCAAAGTTTTATAAACTTAAGGCCTACTACATCAAGTTGTGCTGATGGATCTGTTTCTTCTTTCTGTGAAATCACATTATTGTTATACTGCTGGAAAACCAGTGTATTGTTGAATATACTGTGCTATTTATGACCAGCTTTCTTTCTTGCAGAGTTTCTAAAGTGCTAAGCTATCACACTTTTCTGCAGAGCTCTAGAATGTGGGCCATGAGTATTTCTCATCACTACCAAAAGGCACTGTTGGCTTTTCCAACAGTTGGCTTTTCCAACATCTTTTCCAAGTGAACACACAGCACCTGGTTTGCTGGAGATATTTACAAAAGCATGAAGACCAGATTCTGGTAACTAGGTCCTGTTTGTATAAAACAGACCTGTTCTATCATGCTATACACAATACAAATAGAAATCTGTACCTATATGGTATAAGTAAAGAATGAAATTGCCAGAGTTGATATTTAATCTTTGAAACTATTTCAGGAAAAAATTTAAGGGATTATTGATCCTTTTTTTGCATCAAACTATATATATATATATATATATATATATATATATATATATATATATATATATACCACTATTTTTCACATGGGTGTATGTATATATATATATATATATATATATATACACACATATGTATTTATATGTACATATATACTATACTTTTAATTGCTGGGTACCAAGAGTTTTTAAGTGAATAAAAAGCAACTTCCATACTTAGGCACAGATTATGATTTCTAAACACCATTCTTTCTCCACCCACCAAAGAAATAAGGACTGGGGTTAAAGATGTTTCAAGTATCATAGGCTAATAAGCAAATAAGTGCTAATAGAATAGTATAGACATAACAAAAGACACAGAAACCATCTTGAACCCACTTGGGCTGCTTCAAGCAAAAAAAAAGAATAATATAATAGTAAAGGATAATAATCCATAGAGTAAAAATAGGAACCTATGAGTCCATAATAAAAATAAATAAATGAACATTTGAAAGAGAAAAGTATACTTACATATTTCCAAGTAATGCCACACAAAATTCTTATTAATGATAAGGGTTTTTTTTTCCTCTTTCTGTACAGAGAACATTGTTGTGATTGAACTGGACCTGAGAATAGTAGAAATATTTCAATGTTAGATTTTTTATTTTGGTTATACTGTATCTACATTTAAAATCTTACTGTAGAAAACACACATCAGAGTACTCAGAAGATAATGAAAGATCAAATTAGCAGTTTCCAAATTATCCATTAGAAAATAATTCCCCTGCCAGGCAGTTGCGACTCATTCCTGTAATCCTAGCTAAGACAGGGAGCTGAGATCTGACAATTATGGTTTGAACCCAGCTTTGTCAGGAAAATCCACGAGACTCTTTTCTCCAATTAACCACAAAAATGTCAGAAGTGGAGCTATAGCTCAAGTGGTAAAGTGCTAGCTTTGAGCACTAAAGCTGGGACAGAGCCCAGGTTAAAGCCCCAGGAATGGCACATACTACTAATACTAATACTAATAATCCCCTAGTTAGATGCTGGTGGCTCTTGCCTGTAATCCTAGCTTAGGAGGTTGAGATCTGAGTATCCTGGTTTGAGACAAGCTCCAGCAGGAAAGTTCATGAGACTCTTCTCTCCAGTTAGCCAGAAGTTGAGCTGTGGTTCAAGTGATAGAGCACCAGCCTTAATCAAAAAGCTATGACACAGCACTTAGGCCCTGAGTCCAAGCCCTAGAAACACTCTCTCTCTCTCTCACTCTCTCTCTCTCTCTCTCTCTCTCTCTCTCTCTCTCTCTCTCTCTCTCTCTCTCTCCAAATGTTACTATTCTCCAAATGTTACTTTAACAGTGTCCATATATATATTTAAGCCAGGCTCAGTGATTTGTCCTTGAAATTCTATCTACATTGGAGGATTGTAGTTCAAGTTTTCTATAAGTGTCAGAACAAAATGAAGTTAAAACAGAGGTAAAGTTATATTCAACTCTTCAAATCTTCTTGGCATGTGAGGATTGGAGGTGTTGGTGGTGGTGGAAACATAGGACATGAAAGTCCCTATGTTGGGAGTATGTCTGACTTGATATCTTCCAGGAGCTTGCAAATGCATTTCACTTGTGGCTGCTAAGTTCCTATTCACCTTCTAAATTGCATATAACTTGTCATTGCAATACCATAATTTTTTACTATGCAAGTATTTTTAAAATGCAAATATCAAAAATGTGGAAGAGATGTGGAAATAATACTAACAATACTAATAATACTTTAGCTCTAAGGTAGTCTGAAATAGTAACTTCACTCAGCTCTGAATTGTTGACAATAAATTTTGGTGTCTTCTCAGTCAAAAAAGAAAGGCAAACATTTTTTCCATATCATACACACACAAATTATGTAATTTTATTTTCTAATTTGGAGAGTGTACTGCTGTCTATATTTCCTGGGGGAGGAATATTTTGTGATGAGACACTCCTCCCAACTCCATATTCTCTCCTGATGATTCCTAAATAATCCAGCAGGTGGCAGGCAAGGAGAGGAGCAGGTCTTACCATTGCCAGTCCATAGGTCAACCTGCAGACCCATTTGGAAAGGGACAGAATGTAGACTCAGCCTTGTGCCTTCTCTTTTCTGGCACTAAGAACAGGATGGTTATTCTCTTAAGATGAGTACTTAGTCATGAAGTAAGAAAAGAATCAAAAGTAGGGCTGGGAAGGTGGCTCAGCGGTAGAGTGCTTTCCTTGCATGCCTGGGGCCCTGGGTTTGATTCCTCAGCACCACATAAGCAAAAAGAAAAAAGACGGAAGTGGTGCTATGGCTCAAGTAGTAGAGCACTAGCTTTGAGCTGAAGAGCTGAGGGACAGCGCCCAGGCCCAGAGTTCAGGGCCCATAACTGGACCCCCCCCCCCAAAAAAAAGAATCAAAAGTAATTGTGTGTGTGTGTGTGTATTCTGAAGCCCTAAATCACATTTTTTTCCTTTATAATTTTTAGAAATTCCACTGATTCTCTACCTCTTTGCCCTGATTTCTATGACGTGGCTTTGGGGAGGACTGCACATGGCCTACAGACATTTCTGGATGTTGGTTCTCTTTGTCATTTTCAACAGTCTGCAGGTAAGCCTTATGGTTTGATTACTGGTCACATGCATTTTGTTAATGAAGAACTTTAACAGTGTCCATATATATATTTAAGCCAGGCTCAGTGATTTGTCCTTGAAATTCTATCTACATTGGAGGATTGTAGTTCAAGGCCAACATAGGCAAACAGTTCATAGGACCCCCATCTTCACATAATACAGTTGAGTGTAGTGGCATCTGTTTGCCATCCCAGCTCTATGGGAAGCATAAATAAGGTCATGATCCAGTCGGGCCTGAGCATAATTGCAATATACTATGTTCAAAATTACTAACTCAAAGAAGGGCTCATGCCGATAATCCTAACAACTCAAAAGGATAGAGCTGAGGACTAGAGTTGGAAGGCAGCCTGGCAGGAAAGTCCATGAGATTTTTATCTCCAGTTAAACACCAAAACCCAGAAGTGGAGCTGGACTCCAGTGGTAGAGCACTAGCCTTGCGTATAAAAGCTTGGGGACAGTGGTTAGGCTCTGAGTTCAAGCCAGAACTGTTACACTAAACTGGGGGTGGGGGGGAGGGCTGGCGGGATTCAGGTGTTGTTGAATTGGTAGAGGGCCTGCTTAGCAAACACAAAGCCCTGAATTCAATCAAACTCCATACTGAAAAAAAAAAGAAAAGAAAAGAAAAAAGAAAAGAAGAACTACGAATTTGCATATAGGTGAATTTGTATACATATAGAGATTTAGAAATGGTAGGAGATAAGACGTTAAGCATTGATTCTCACTCATTGTCCTATGAATTAGGAAAACATAAGCTATTTGCTCTCTCTCCCTCCTTTCAACAACATAGCTATGAATACCTATCTCTCAAAGCAGCTATGAAAACCTATCTGTTTTCAGTAGGAACTGTGTTTACAACTTTGCAGCTGGCAACTGTGTAGGACCTGTGCACACATTGTGAGCATAGTTGTGTGGAAATTAGATCATTTGAGGACCAACACCCACAATGACAGGCAGAGCTCTATGTCCAGCATATGAGTGTTTGTTTTACTACAGAATGAATTGACAACCTTAGGTCCAGCAGAAATAACCATCAGTTAGATTTATGAGCATGCTTGGATATCATAACTAAAAACCTAGAACTGTAACAAAAATGAAAGCTGGATTTGTTGGTGCTTTTGTTAAATGGGAAAGGATTGCATCTTATAATTAACAAAATAGGACAAATGGACACATTTTCCTTATTTTCCAAAATGGAAAAGTCTATCTGTCCTAGACTTCTGACTCCTTTTTTTTTTTTTAATTTTTTTAAAATTTTATTTTATTTTATTTGAGAACATACTGTACGGAGGGGTTACAATTACATGGGCAGGATAATGCATACATTTCTTACCAAGCATTGCAGCCTCCTCCTTTGTTTACCCTTCACCTGACTTCTGACTTCTTAAATTCGCAAAAAGTATTCCCACCAAGATGTTATTTTTGGTTATCATCTAGGAAAAACACGTGTGTACATATATTACATACATACATACATACATTTAGGATTTGTACATACAACTGAAATATGACTGCATCTTTAAAGTGTGCCCTTTAGGAGACAAATTATTTCATAAGAACATAGCTTACATGACCATGTCCAATCAAAGCATGCTATCAACTTAAGGGGGAAAAAATCACAATCTTGGAATCAAGTTCATGCATAATGAGGTATGGGCATCTTTCTGTAGCTAAAGACATAGATGAGCATCTACTGCCTGCTAGGTAATACGCTAATGCTGCCAGAAGACAGCCCTTCCCATCCAAGGTCTGCCAATTCAAAAGAGCAAACAATTCATCACAAAAATACTGCTAGAGTTGGACACTGGTGGCTAACTACTCAGGAGGCTAAGATCTAAGGATCACAGTTGGAAGTCAGCATGGACAACAAAAGTCCTTGTGACACTTATCTCCAATTAACCTCCCCAAAAGTGGGAAGCAGAGCTGTGGTTCAAGTGGTAGAGTACAAGCTCAAGGACAGCTGCTCACATCCTGAGTTCAAGCCACAGGACTTGTACACATACAAAAACAGTGTCTCTGGAACTGGTGCCAGTAGCTACCCAGAAGGCTAAGATCCAGAAGATCTGCCCTTGGCAAAAAAAAAAAAAAACAACCTCAAATTTCAGCCTCCAAAATAACAAGCAAAACGCAAGGCTGGAGGTGTGGCTAAGTGGTAAAGTGCCATCTAACAATCTGAGCAAGCATGAGGCCTTGAGTTCAAATCCTGGTACTACATGTGTGCACATGGAAACGTACATGCATGTAATGTGTAAACAGAGTATTATGAGAGCTAAGTAATTGCTGCTCATCCTGCCTGTGCTTTCATGAAGAGTGAGCCATGAGGTCAGGGGCTCTGTCTTGGCCACCTTTTTCTCCCTAGCACCTAGTAGGATTAGAATCAGTGTCTACAGCAACAGTTCCCAGACATTATTTTACATGGAAGATATACATAGGGGTAGTTAGGGTTTTTCGGTATTTGCTACACACTTGAATACTTCAGAAATGTCACATGAAAACCTTGAGTGTCCAATTTTCTTAAAGACAATACTTGCAAGGCAGGAACTTTCAGCATTGTACGTCAGTCTTCTTCCTGCCAGAGTTGGTTATGTTTTCTATGCTTATTAATGAGGAGTTGGTGGCTAGAGAAGGGATCGCAGGCCAAGAAAGCAGTGCTAGCCACGGCTGCAGAAAAAGAAAGTGACTCATCTTGTCTAGATTAGCAGAAGGTTTGAGGGGCGGAAGAGAGGTTTTGCAATCAGCAAAGCAGTGGTAAAGAGGAGAGAGAAAGGGCAGGTGGCCTTGAAAGCCAATTCCCCCTGCTTGGGATGTTCATCTGCACCCTTTACCCCGCAGGAAGCTCACAAACTTGTGTGGACTTTTGTTGATCATATCCTTAAAAAAAAAAAAGGTCAGTTTGCAAATTTCCCTCATTTTGAATGATTGTAATTTCCTTGGGCCTAGTGGCTTCTTAGAAGAACATTGGAAGTAAGGGGTTGGGGATTAGAAAGAAAACCAACTGTGAACAGGCAAGCAATGGGTAAACTATGCCTTAGACGATGGGTATGGTGGCAGGGCACCAAGGTGACAGGTCTCAGAGCAGTAGTAATCAACACTAATAGCATTCAGCTGGCAGTACCATGAAAGAATGTAGAATATAAGAGGGAAAATCACTTACATGCTGATGGCTTGGGTGAAGAGCTAAGTGTCAACTGCTATTGATCAAAGTAGAGACCAGATAGGGGAGGGCAGGTATGTTGGGGGGGGGGGGGGTCCTAGGGTCACTGTATCAAAGTTGGTGAGATTTGGAGACACTGGTGAACATAGCCATGATTTCATAACTAGGGAGGGTGCTAGTGAGAGAGATTGCTAATGAGTGATTGGACACTTAAGAAGAGCACCAGGAAAAAGGTTTGAATTGCTGGTAGAAAAAATATCTCCCTAAAGAAACAATACATAGAAAAAGAAACAGCAGTAGCAATGCCCACTGTTTTGTCAAGCATGGTAGAGAAGTAAGCTGGGAGTAATGTGGTCTAATGCAGGGGTTCCCAAACCACAGCACGTATGAGACTTCCACAAGGGTGGGCTGTTAAAACACATTTCTTTAGGCCACCACATCCAGAGCTTCTTAGACAGTTCTGGGTGGAACCTGAAGTTTTACATTTCTCCTAAGTTTCTTGATAATGCTAAGTCTGCTGATTTAGGAGCCACAGCGTGGAGGTAATTGTTTTAACGGATCACGCAGAGAGGGAAATAACCAGTAGTTGGTAGGCTGAGATGAAGAGGATCACAATTCAAGACCAGTTACATGGAAAAATCCAAGACTGATTCCACAGAGGGAAGCAGAATATGCTGGTGCATGCTATAATCGCAGCAATGACAAGAAACCTAAATTCTTCAGATCAGACCACAACTCAGACACATGACCTCATATCAGAAAGTTCAAGTGAAAAACAGGATTCCATCATGGCTCAGGATCCTGAGTTCAAACGTCACTACTGCTGGCAGGAGGGACATAATAAGGGGAGGCTGGCTGGGAGACTTTTTGGTTTTGTTTTCTTTACTTACAAAAAGAACCAACAAAAGTGAAACTAAAGAACGTAGAACTACAGGTAGTCATGGCATGTGTAGAGGGGAGGCTAGAACACAGCAGTGGAGGGCGCCCCCGAGGGGCTGCAGAGGTCTTTCCTTCACTAAGAGAAAGGAGGATGGCTGGTAGGAATGAAATCCCACACCAGAGCTGAGATGGAGAGTTTGCATCGATTATTTCCTCTATTTTCTGCTACAAGAGGTGAGGTTGTCTTTGGAAGGGAATGGTTTGAAAGCTTGAGGTAGCAATAATAAAAAGTATGGCAGCCAGGCACTAGTGGCTCATGCCTATCATCCTAGCTACTCAGGAGGCTGAGATCTGAAGATTGAGGTTCAAAACCACCTGGGGCAGAAAAGTCTTTGACACTCTTATCTCCAATGAACCACAAAAAGCTGGAAGTGGAGCTGTGGCTCAAATGGTATAGCACTAGCAAAGCTTAGACAGTACGTAGGCCCAAAGTTCAGACCCCAGGACTGGGAAAAAAAAAAAAAAAAGTATAGAGTACTTTCTGGGGTGAAAGTAAATGACTAGATATATGTTGGAACATGGTCCAAACAGAGAATGCTTATAGAGAACACAGTAAGAGTCAATTTTCAATTGAGCTAGTAATTGAGAATAAATAAATGCCAAATTTAAGATTATAATGGGCCAGGTGCCGGTGGTTCATGCCTGTAATCCTAGCTACTCAGGAGGCTGAGATCTGAGGATCGAGGTTGAAAGCCAGCCGCATCAGGAAAGTCCGTGAGATTCTTAACTCCAATAAACCACTAGAAAACCGGAAGGAGTGCTGTGGCTCAAGCAGTAGTGCACTGGCCTTGAGCTGAAGAGCACAAGGACAGAACCCAAGCCCAGAGTTCAAGCCCCATGACCAACAACAACAACAACAAAAGATTATAATGGAATTATAATGGCCG